AGTATTTATGTTTCTGTTGGTTTTTAATATATTTATCTTTCTATTCTTGCCCAACAAGAGAGGGTCAATCATTTTAACGCCCAGCACAATTAAGCTCCTTGCATCCAGTTTTTATTGAACAGATCTGATTGTCCACGTCCATCTGTTTGGTCAGAGGCAGAAAGGTCATTGTAGTTGATGGTTTATTGTAAAATCACGCCGCAGGTTGACCTGAGTGTTAATAAAACTCAGAAACAGAAGCTAATGGCTGGACCTTGAGAATCTAAATGGATGAGGTTTTGAATGGGACATTGCCTTTGTTTTGCAGGATTTTGCCTCCCAGTTGTCCCTCTGCTCCTCTGGGTGCTCCTCCTGTCACCCAGGCTTAGTGTCAGACGTTTCCGGCCAACAGAGAGGCATTCACCTTGACATGATCGACTTGGAAATAAAAAGATCCAAAGTTGGACATTCAGGATAACAGACACGCCATCCGTTAGAGGTGGATTTATTTTTTATTGCCTTTATGGGGTTTTTTTTGTTTGTTTCTATTCAAAAAATATTTTTCTTTTTCTTAAATCACTCTGTCAAGCTCTAACTTTTTTTTTTTTTTTCATTTACTTTCCTGGTCACCTTTTTCCGTCTTTGCTTTGGGAGTTTTCAGCTAGCGCCTCTCTTCTCCCTTCCTTTGACTATCCAGCAGACCGGATGGTGATTATACGTTCATCTGATCAGAGTTTGTGTGCAGGCCGGCACCTGATCAGCTAAGTGCTTTGTAGGGAGAGAGAGAGAAAAAATCACGCCACAGTGAGTTATTTCTGGCTGAGTTAGTCTTATTTCTCTGGGCGCTTTGATAATGGAGAAGATTTGAATAATGAATGGGGCGTATCATACTGCTCCTCAGACTCGCTGAATCAATTAGGCAAGTGCACAGATGTGAGTTTTCTGGGAGGGTTTCTAATACTCCCCACTCGTTTTTGTCCTTTTAAAGTTTAGGCTCTTTTTAAAAAAATAAATAAAAATTGGAACACACAAACATAAACTTCAAAACTGCTTTAAAGGAAAATGCTGAGCAAGTTGAAGTTGTAACTAAGAGACAGCTGTGTCTGGCTCCCGTGTGGCCATTTTTATATTTGTTTCAGACAGCTTGACTTCAAAACAGTGAGCTTCCAGATGTTGAGTGTGAGAGGCTGTGGTAAATGTTTACTGGAACATGGGTCACATGAACCTCTGGTGAAATTTTTAAACTGGAGTTGTTTTAGCGGTAATCTGTTTTTGAACTGACTCTGTTCGGATTAGCCGTTAGCTTCCCAGAGAAAATGTCTACCTGATATTCCATCCATCCATCCATCCATCCATCCATCCATCCATCCATCCATCCATCCATCCATTATCTTTACCCATTTGTTCCTTTTTTGGGTTGCAGGGGTCACTGGTTCCCATATCCAGCAGACCCTATGCGAGAGGCAGGAGACACCATGGATAGGTCTCCAGTCCATCACAGGGACACATCAAGACAAATGAGACAAACAACCATTCACTCTCTCACTCACAACTAGGAACAATTTAGAGTTACCAATCAGCCTAACATGCATGTTTTTGGTCTGTGGGAGGAAACCGGAGTACCTGGAGAAAACCCACGCATGCACGGAGAGAACGTGCAAACTCCACAGAAATGTCACCGGCCGGGATTTGATCCAGCGACCTTCTTGCTGAGAAGCAACCGCTCTACCAACTGAGCCACCGTGCCACCTGCCTGATACTCCAATCTGATAATGTGCCCACTGGTTCCTGCTGCAGGTATGACACTGATTATTGACATGAACTCCACAGAACACCACATCAAAAATATGAGCCAGACTCTTTAATATGTGACTGTACTGACAAGAAGAAGTAGGGGTGCAAAGGGTGCTGCAACACCCCTGATGGATGCCAGAAGACACCCATGTCAAACTACATTAAAATAATTAATAGATTTCATTGGTGCTGCACAGGATTGAATTCAATGGTATTTTAAGATTATTGAGTTTAATAAATCTTGTGTATAAAACACAATGAGTACACTTTTACAACCACTGAAAACCCATTAAGAAAGGCAAATTAGCATAAAATAATAGAAAATTATAGACGTGGTCTAGATTCGCAGGCTCCCAGCACAAAACCTCCCCCCAACGTGTGTGTTGGAAGTCATTTCTGAACTTGTAATAATGAGTTAAAATGTCTGTCTCAAATATTAACTGTGGAAAAAGAAAAAAAAAAAACATTTAATCTGCACAAAAAGTTTCCAGCATCACATTTCAGCATGAGTAACTCTGTCTCAGTGTGTGTGTGTGTGTGTGTGTGTGTGTGTGCGTGCTGCACCCAGTGAGTAGACTCCAGCAGGAAGAGTTGAACTGGTTCCTGATGATAACTGAAGGTGACTAACAGAGAGGTAGCTGTCTCCCTTCGCTCTGGTCACATTCTCATTTGTTGCTGCTGGCATGGCTTGAATTATTGAACTGGGGGTGTCTTGGCTCCCACCTCTCCTCTCACATTCCCCCAGTCTGCTCCCATGGTTGACAGCCTCCCTGTTTGTGTGTGTGTAAAATGCATTCAGCAGTTAAACTGAGCTTCTCACGTTATCCCCCCAAAAATAAAGGATTTTCCTGCATAAAACAAAAACACTTCATCTTTTCCAACTCTTTTTATTATTATTATTAAAAATCCATTTTAATGTGATTCAAAGTGAAATTAGTGTTGCTCTTAATGTATAAATGTACCTCCCTGCGCACCTGCATGATGGCCTGAGAAGCAGGAATATACCTTTCAGCTTCTGCTGAATAATTGAAAGGCCCTCATTCGCCACATGCCGCTAAGGCTCACGGGCCTTCAGCTCGACTTACCTCGGAACAGTCTGATATCAATACTGGTATCACATGGATCAATTATTCACGCGGCCAAACCCAACTTTTACATCAAAAAAATGATAGAAATTCAGCTTCTTTTCTTTTCTCTGCGTGACTGAACCCTCTCAAATGAACCACGAGATCATAAAAGGGACATTTTGAAGAAAAATAAAAAACACCCATGGATGAAAGCAGGTAACTTTTGCGCGCTCGCCCTCAAATAAAACCCATTTAACACCATGGAGTCTCTGTGGACTGATGTGATTCACCTCTGATCATCAAAGAGAATATTCATGAGAGCCACAAACGTTTCCGCAGAGCTGCTAATAAAAGACTGGATCCCCTGCAACAAGCAACCGGTCCATAGTCTCCCAGGGAGGCGCGCGCACAGCCGGGAGCCACGCGGAGGAATCCGGCGGAAGCTTCTCTTTAAATTACTCCACTAATGAATTCATTTTGAGAAAATCTTTGATTAATATTTGTAAATGGAAACCCCCTTTCATGGATTATTTTACAGCACAGTTCTACAAAAGATGACAAAACTATCCAACGTTGTGAAAGTGCGTAATTTGCGTAAATATGATGCGTAAAATGCGCCGGAGGAGGTTTCCAATAATCCTAAAATGTACACAGAGCCGTGATCAATTTTTAATCTAAAGTAGAGAAGTCAGCTTTGACTAAGTCTATTAAAATGTGCGAAAAATAAGCAAAAATAAATAAAAATACACGACAATTAGGCCATGAAATGTTGTACATGTGCGCCAGTAGATTAAATATATAAGAAACAGGACAAATAATAGGAGCAATCACAGAAAATAAATACTCACTTATCCAAACAAAATATTAAATAGCCTATAGGTGGAAAAAAAGAGAAATATCCTCAATTTCGCGTCCAACTGGTGCGTTCTGCGTCTCCCTGGAGTCCCCAGCAGTCCAGCTCTTCACTTGCCTTTATACACATCTACAATTAATATTGCATCATCATTACTTAATAATTTCAAAGCCCACGCACGAGTCAGGCCGACAGGACATCTATAATTGAGGCTGTATTAATTAAAGGTGAAACCACGCTGAGAAAATCTGTGAAATAATAATTAAAAAAACTTCCCCGTTTGGATTTTTGTTTGTTTGTTTTTCTTGTTTCAAATGTATTTTTAATTATTGTAGACTTTTAGGTGTTTAAATAATACAGCCCGTGTATTTAAAAAAGAATCTGTTTACATGTTGTTGTTTTTATGGCTCAGCAACCAAGACACCACATTCCAAGGCCCCCCAGGCCACAGCCTCAAAATAAATAATAAATAAAGATAAAAACTCAATTTCATAAAGCACAAAAATGCAGTCGCTTTGGGTGATTTTTAAAAAATAAAATAAATTAATAATTTATTCAGTTTAAATATCACACTTTTGTTTTAATCGAAGTGAAATCCAGAGTGAGAGGGAAAAAATGTTCAGATCAGTTGATTATATTTATCATAAAATAAATAATATATCTAAATAAATACATCTTACCTGCAATTCTAAAAAAAAAAAATAATAATCACATCAAAATATTAAAATATAGCAGCAAAGTGTCACATCTTGTGAAAGACTTACTGTAATGATTTTTGTTTCTGTGCGTAAATCACAACCACACAAGAGGCTGATTTGTGATTAATAAAAAAAAAAAGTGGGTTTTGTTGACATTTGCCCAAAAGTTCCACATAAAGATGAAAAAGGTGAAGACATGGTGTAAATGTTGTGTTTCAGAAAGTTTGTTCGTTTCTTTTTTTTTTTTTTTAATCCTTTGTTGAGCTCATCTGAAAATGAAGCAGCCCTCTCGAGTCAAAGCTACATGTTTTTTTTAAGGTCCCTGAACGTCACAAACTTTCAGGCTGGATTTATGGAAATTCATTCCAAACGTGTGCAAGAAGAGAACAACACCAAACAACATGATAAACAAAATCCAAAAAAATAAAAGTGCAACAATGAGAGGTGAGTGACACAAACTGAAAAAGTTAATAAGTCCGACTTGTTTTTATTTTTCTTCTTGTTGTTGTTGTTGTTGTTGAGCTGCTCATGCCTCCTGTTTGTTCGGCTGCTCAGGTTATTATTAATCACCCGATCAAAAATGTAGTAGTCTCTTTTATTCATGATGCCAGGAGGGGGGGAAGAGGAGGAAACAAGTCAGTGCACCGCGGAGTATTTCATTCGTTTCTGTTTCTGCCGCTGGTTGCAGAACCACACTCGAACCACGTTCTTTTTCAGGTCCAGTTTCTCCGCGATGGCTGCGATCTTCTCCGAGGAGGGCCGCGGCTGGATGGCGAAGTACGCCTCCAGGGAGCGCTTCTCCGGCGCGGCGATGGACGTGCGCTTCCTCTTGCGCTCGCTGCCGTTGAACACGTCCGGCTTGCTGCTCCTCTCCCGGTGCGCGGCCTCCGCCTCCTCCAGCCAGGCCTGCAGCACCGGCTTCAGCGCGATCATGTTGTTGTGGGACAGCGTGAGGGACTCGAACCGGCAGATGGTGCTCTGGCTCAGCGAGCCCACGCCGGGGATCTTGAGGTTGGCCAGCGCTGCGCCCACGTCCGCCTGCGTCACGCCCAGCTTGATGCGCCTCTGCTTGAAGCGCTCCGCGAAGGCTTCCAGCTCCCGGGGATCCGACTCCACGTCGCTGACGCACGCCATGCCGCCGTGCACGGACAGGGAGTGAGGGTGGGCCATGGTGGCCATGGCTTGGTGCAGCTGGCCCATGGTCTGCAGGTGGTGGTGGGCGTGATGCTGGTGGTGGTGATGGTGCGTCGACGTGGTCATCCCGGGAGGCTCCGGAGCGCCCATCCCGGTCACAGCCAGGCTGCTGGAGAGGTGGTCCAGGAGGTCCCCGGCCTCCAGGCTCTGTCCGAGGTGGTGGTGATGGTGGTGGTGGGAGATGGGCACGGCGGTGGAGGAGGAAGAGGAGGCTGAGGTGCAGGGGACACTGCTCATGGTATGGTACGTCACGTCTGCTTTGAACGCGTGGCTCTTGCCTTGAGAGACGATGCTGTCAGCAGCCGCCAGAGCTTCTGCGCGCGCCAGCAGGCTCTCATCAAAGCCTCCGAATATATTGCCCTGCAGCTGCAAGCAAGAGTGCGCATACTGGAGTCAGTGGGGAATTGTGTCAGGCAGCTCTCAGGATATCAAAAAAAAAAAAAGGAAACATTTTCCAAAGGCGAGCAGCGCCGAGGAGAGAGAAGCCTCCTCAGAGCGCGTGCAGCTCATAAAAATTCATATGAAAGCTTTGCTTGAATACACATGTGGAGGAATGAGGGGGGGGGGGGGGGTGTATAGAACAAAGTCCTGTCAAATCAACTTTACATTTTCAGTGATATTTTCTCCATCCCCCCCACCCACCACCACCCCCACCCCAAGACCTGAACGTACCTGCGGGGCGGGCAGACAGACTCTGCGCATGCCCTCCGAGCCTGAGTGCAGGCCGGGGTACTTGGGCTCGTGCAGGGCCGGATGCATGGAGAAGTGCTGCTTGCCGTTCATGGTCATCCTCCTCCTCCTCCACCTCCTCCTCCTCCACGCAATGAGGCCCTCGCGAGCAGTGTGGGCCCTGGCATGAAAAACCTCGAGGTTTGGATTGGGTTGGGGGCTGTGGGGGAGCGGGACAGCCGCGGAGCTCCCTCTGGTCTCCTCCTTGACCAGACTGAGCTCCTCACATCGGCAGCGCCTCCCGGCATCCCTCTCTCCCCTCCTCCTCCTCCTCCTCCTGCTCCCTCCCCTCCCACCTGCTCAGGTTGCAACAGTCCAGTCTGGGAGCGCGAGCTGCAAAACATGAACTCTAAAATTTACTTCCATGCTTTTTACACCAGAACATTTCAGATGTTTTGAAGGGTTCACCTGCTGCAATTCAATGACTTCCTAACAGAGGCGCCTCCAGACATTTTGTTTGGGTGGCCATGCAGGTGGGGACCACTGAAAATCATAGGGTGGCACAAAACCAAAAGCCATAAAATAATTTTAGAAACTTCATTGGGCTGATCTTGAAAACTGTGGATTTGTAGACTTCAGGAGTGAGGAATTACCAGCTGACCCTGCAGAATCAGAACATTTGCAGTTCCACATGGATCCGTTTTGTAAACTGTTCTGTAACTTTACATACACAATGAATGCCAAAAATTGTCATATTATATTTTATTATTGTTGTATTTTCTCCTTTATCCAAAAACAAAAAAATGAAAAAATAGAATAAAATACTAGAAAAAGGCTTTCTTAATTTTAAAGCTATACCACCCATTTTAATTATTTTGTTGGCTTGTTGCTGTTTACTTTTGTGAAGAAAAATGTTTTATTGTAAATGTCCAAATTTGGGGAAAGATAAATAAATAAATGTATATATATATATATATATATATATATATATATGATCTTCCAAGATCCTGCATCCTAATGTTGAGGATGTTGTTGGCTTTAGACCAGGTTTTTTTAATTTTTTAGAAGATATATGCATAATAATAATAACATTCACATCACATGTGGTACATGTGGTGAAACGAAATTGTGGTAACAGGGTCCCAGTTACATCCAACAATAAAATGTAAAAGAAAAACAGAAATAAAATCTAAGATATGAACTAAGAAAAAACATTAACTAAACATATGTACTAACAGCATAAAAACTATATGGTGAACAGCAGCACAATATTATTATTAATAATAATAATAATAATAATAGTAATAATGTATGACAATGATGACAAGTGGTTGAATGTCGACAACCACTTGTCAACCACCTGTAATTGCTCATAAACATTTTTCGTTTTCACATTTACAATAAACATTCTACAATTTTTAATGTGGCTCCCCAAGAGGGGCGTCCCTCTTAAAATCTTTAAAAAATATTAATTTTTATGTATAAACTGAAGGGAAGCAAAATCATGAACTGTTAAAGCTGCCTTAAGTTGCTCATTATGGTCACCATGGTAACCACATACCTGCGTCTGTCACTCCCTAATTACACTCCTAAAAGAGGCGGTCAGGATCGCAAACTAAAAAGTAAGCCTCAAGCAAACAGTCGCTGTGTGAAAAACTACAAGTTTTATTAAAAAAAATCTTCATCCATGAGTGGCACGAGACTCCGATGATTCACCCGGATCAATTTTTGTGTTCCTACTGTTAATTATATCAGATAGCAGAGTGTTACTTCAGTCAAAATGTACATTTTTGTGACTCATTTCAATGTAAAGTGTGTTTTTAACCAAAACATCACTTCAAAAATGGCCATATTTAATAAAGAGCTGAGGACTGTTGACAACACTGTAAGTTTGGAGATACATATTCATTTTTTGTGAGGAGGTGAATTTGAGCTCACTTTTATTAAACAGTTTATTTTATAAATTATGGCCTAATGGAATGTTTTTATTTTATTTTTTTTATTTACAAATCTAAACTTTGTCAGTCTGTAAAAAAGTGTTGAATATAGTGGATTTGACACATAAACATGATTTTAGCGCTGCAGACATCAGAACCTCTGATCGGTCTGAGCTGTCTGCTTCACACCACACACATGACGTGATAACAGAATAAAATGGTTTTGATTTCACCATCTTTAAGGTTTAGGCCTAAATTTACCACAGTCTTGGCCTTGGACCCCTCCCCATGTGAACAGCCATCGCTCCAGCACCACCCTCCTCATGTGGCTGCTGGTTCAAACCCATGAACCCTGCACGGGCGACATGCGGACCGAGGCGTACAGGTGACACACCAGGTCAATTTGATCCTCCCGGTCGCCTCTCCTGTTCCCCAGACTTTGAATAATTCAGCAGCACGATGGCAGGCATCCATTACCGCCGTGGCATCTTCTTATTCATTACGCAGATTAAAAGCAGCCTGTCTTTTCCCAGCATGCAACACTCCGGAGTCCTGCATGCTGTTTAGTTTAGAAGAGGACATAGGATTAAGTTGTCTCATCCTGAAAGACACATTGAGAACCGACGCCTGCATCCTCATTTCTTTAAATCATAATGTAAGACTGTGATGTAACCTGACTGCAAGTCTTCAGACTTTCTGAAGTTTATTCAGTTTTTTTTTAATCTTATTTATAGTCCAGTTCTTGTTCTCGACTAGGACATTTTGTGTAGTGCGAGCTTAAAAAAAAATTAAGAAAGTGGACAAGTGAAAGACAAAACAAGTGTCACCCCTAAAATAAACCTGTTTACAGCAGATGAAAGTCGGTCATACATGCTTCATGGTCATCTGATGCGCACGTTTTCAGCTTAAGAATCAACTGTTCATGTTAAAATACAATCTTCTGTTTGTCAGTTGTTTTTTTCTTCATAATTTCAGTAAATAAAATGGAATAAAAATGTGTCAGAATGATAGTGGAGGGCCTAAAATACACAAGGATTGTTTTTTGTCTACAGACTGTACAGGAGACTGCCATCACGCACGAAAAGACTCAAAGACAGTTATTACCCATAAGCTGTCAGATTACTGAACCATACACTAAGCCACATATGTGACATCTATTATGACTAATATTAACTGACTGCTAATTTGTTTATTACTGCTGCACTATGTGGCTGTATCATGTCACCACCATACCATCATAATTCAACTAATCTCAATGCAATAACCTGCGTAGTACTTGTTATATGCAATAAATATGCAATATATTATATATACCTGTTACCCATGTTAACCTGCATATGACAAACAATAAACAAATCTCCCGTTTTTGATTCTTTGCTAAATTACGCATCAACAGAAGCTCATGGTTTGTGTTTATGAGCCGTTTTAAGCCATGAATTAAAATGAAAAATGACAACAAAGTCTGTTGGAAGTAAAGAACTGAAGATACAATATTTTTAAACATGTTCAGATATTTGGAGTGGTTTATGAGATTCCCCCCAAAATAATGTTGCCATGATGTGAAAATGCTTTGGATCAAGCACACTTCACCACTTGCTCTCGCTGAGATCGGATGCTTCTCTCCCTCCCTCTCCGCTTTGCTGCTGTCTGTCTGTGAAACTGCTTCTGAGCCTCTCTTGCATATCTTCCGAACCATAATTATGGACTTGTTTTGATCAGTTGGTCCTTCAACTCAATTTACAACATTTCTTCAAAGAGAAGACAGGCTTTAGGCGAGTTGATTTGCCCTGTTGGCACGCACGCAGCTGGATATCTCATCGACTGCAAGAATTGATGATGTGTCTATCTCTGCTGCCATCTGTGGATTTTAAGGATGCACATTTAATTGGATTTACAATAACTGGTTCCTGCTTTTTGGATTTGGCTGGTGGCTGGTTTTATCTACAATCAAGGAAGTCGTCGGCAGCAAATTTTGACCCGATCACGCTGCTTGCCTTTGATGGCTTGGTTCATGTCTGAGTACCCAGACTCAAATGCTTGGGGCTGAATGGAACAGATCTTTGGGATTTTACTCAGTCACATTCCATCGGTGTGGCCATGTAATTTGGACATTTCAGAACCGAGTGGACCAACACAGACTCAAGGTAGATGTCATTAAGTTCTGCCTGTCCCCAAAACAACTGTGTGTTTATCCGAATTTGGCTCCCTTGACTGGCATTGAAGGCCATCTTATCTGAATTCTCCTGGAGAGCATGCGATCTGACGCTCACCACCCACTCTCTGAGGAATTTCCAACTGATAACCAGATGAAACCAGTTGAATAAACTTGTGTCATCATTTCAGGACTATTGGATTCTCATAGACATTATTCCTGGCCATTCCTTGACATACCTCGAGAATGTTTATGGATCTCACCGGAGGACATTGACTGTTTATTCCATCCTTAACAGAACTCTTAGTGACCTCGAGAGCATGAACATTGCTGACAACTCTCGTCTCCTCCGTCTGCAGATCATCTACGTAAATACATGCTTGTCTGTGCGAGGTGTTTTTTTTTTTTTTTATTAGAGGGTTTTTCCCTCAGGCAGGAAAAAAAGTCTGATAGGATTTTTTTTTGCCTCCAACTCTTACATGTGTCCAGTTAACCACTGTTTTTTCTGTCCAAACAGGTCTCACTTGTAAATGAGTCTTTGAGGCTCAATGTGATTTATCCATTTAAATAAAGGTTGAATGAAAAAAAACATCTAATATATAAAAATAATAAATTGTAGGCTGTTTTTAATATTACATCAAGACCCAACATTTTTCAGTCAGGTCATCTGGACAGTTTCTTTTTTTGTGCTGAAACGTTTCGCCAAAAAATGTTGGATTGTATACCTGGATTATTGAGCATGGACTTTGTTATTACAGCAAGACCTTTGTTTTAATGCAAGATCAGTTCAGACTGAATGTTTCATATATATTAAAAGTGTGATTTTAGTTCTGAGAGACACTTTATCTTTCAAAGAATTTTAAATTTACTTTATATATTAAAGACATTCATGCTTTTGTAAGTCTGGTTGAGTTTATTAGTCACAAAGTTTTATTTATTGTTAAATCTTCTGAGATTCAAGCTTTAGTTTGGTGTGCATATTTAATTAGAACCTTAGAAGTTTTTTTTTAAACAACACAGAAATAAACTTTTTTCTTTAAATCAAGTTAAAATATAAGAGAACTGAAAAGTAGGTGCACTCAACAATCGCAACCAAAAACGCCTTCGCAATAAAATAACAGATTTTACATTAGAATATTTATTCATGGAGGTGCACTCAATATGAATTTAAAATTTAATCCCAGTCCTGGATTATTCCTGCATCTGATTGGCTGGGAGGTGTTAACCATATCTCAGCCCAATTTGAGGCTTTTGCTGGAGAAAAACAAAAAAACAACTTTACATCACGTGGAGAAAAAGAGTGCTTCCACCTGCAGGAAAAACATCTCTAATCATAGAAAACAGTCAAACTGCAAGGTGAATATTAGATAAATACTGACTCAACATTTCTGCTCCTCTGTGGTTGTCATGTTAAAACTAAGGAAATTAAATTCAGGGAACGGTCCTTGTATCTGAAAAATGCACAGTAATAAAACTTTCACAAAAAACGTGCCAAATAAAGGAGACCACACACGATTTGAAGGTTGTTTTCTGGAATGCTTTTGCTTGTGATTTTTTTTTTCTCTATCCAATCTCATCTTTTTCTCCCAGATTTCTTTCCCTTAAATTTTTTGTTCTCTTTTCACGCCCAATTAATCTTTTTTTTTCTTCCTTTGATCATCTTACAAGCTCCCCATTCCTTCATCTTTATTGGCAAAAGCAAACATGCTAGTAAATTATAATTTTTTTTTTTTACAAACAAAATACATGAATAAAATACATACACATCCTGCAAATATAAACAGTAACAAATCCAAAACTATTATCCAATAAACATTTTACATTTTGTACACTTTTTGTGTGATAGTAGCATACAGAGGATAGTACAAAACAACATGTGGGAGACTGAATCCTCATTTATACAAGCAGGAAACGTGTTGCCGCCGGTTCCTTTTCTGAACCGATTCGACATAATGAAGCGTAAAGTCATCCCCTCGTCAGAAACTTCTTTAGACAGATTAAGAGGACAAACATGCTGGTTCCTAACACTGATCCTTGAGGAACGCCATCCAGCATGGTTTAGTTGCTTCTCTGCTCTAACACGCCTGATCTGAATGAATGGATTAGTAAACAGGCAGAACTTCAGGAAGTAATTAAATCACTGAATCAGATGATGGAGCAGTGAAACTAAAACATAAAGGATGGCGTTCCTCAGGGATCAGGATTGGGAACCACTGCTTTAAATATAAGCGGTGTCAGTGTGTGAAGTAAAAGAAAGAAAATCTGGTATTGGGTTTATTTACATGCAGGCAGAAGATTCATGTGAATTTCCCTGCCTGATTATTTGTGTAACGTGATGGGACAGCAGCAGAATAACGACTTAATCTCTCCTTTGTTTTGGCTTAATATATGAGCCGACTCAATTTCTGGTAAACCAAATGTAAACTTACTTATTAAAGAGCAACAACTGCATTCAGAACATGCCAAAGGATTCAGTTCCCCCCATTTGAATCACTCCACAATAAGAGTATATAGGAGGAAGGCAGAAGTTAAAACTTAGTCATTCAGCCTGCACTTTATCAGATGGACTTTAAACTGACAAGATTCAAACTGAGGCAGAGCTCCAGTTGTGCAAAAAATAAAACTTTACGTTTTTTTAAGCGTTTAACTCAGAGCAGCTCTGAATGCTTCTTTAAAAGAAATGTGCTCTTGATGACAGGGCTAATAAAAATAAGCAAGCTGGACTGTTCATCACAAAAGCTCAAGTCCTGCAAACAAGCAGAGCACTCGTGTTTGACCTCTTCTACCTGAAGCGACACACCGTTCATGTGAAATGGTTAAATCAAACAGGAAGAACAAAGAAGTACAATAATTAGTCTCTCAAGCATTTACACAATTTACAAAATAAATCACAAATCCTGTAAAAACTCAGCAGTCTGCTGACTGTAAGGCAAATTATATAGATCTTATTATTATTATTTTCAATATTAAAATCAACTGTCCAGTATTACATTCAAACACCTGTCTATGGATGTCACCTGCCCTGTCCTTCGAGGGACAGAGAAGTCGACGTGTTTTACACTCTTAGAAATTGTGCAACACCTGTTTTGGTGCGAATTCACAAAGAGTGGCAATGGATACTGAGGGAGCAACAAAAGAAAAAAAGAAAAAGTGGAGGAAAAGTTGAAAATATGCTACAAGCCTGTCTCTGGTGTACATCTGTAAACATCGTCTGCTCGTTCTGTTGGGCCGGGACCCTTCAGTACCCGTGCACTGGCTCTAATGTGGTCACCGTACGGCTGCACCTCCATGTGCTCCGGTTTGGCGTCTCTGTCTGATAACAAGCTAACGTGGATCTTTGTCAGCGCACAGAGCTATAATGGATCTTTTAACATTTTAGGGCCAACAGTGAGCAAGGTGAAACTGAAAACCATACCGTACTCAGCCAATATAAGTACGACGCACAGCATTAATGTGGTGGAAAAATAAATAAATCGTTCTCAAAGTGTCTGAAAACATTCTACCGGTGATGGAATGGCTGTTCCTGACCCAGGGATGAGTGTTAAAAAAATAAAATTAAATAAAAAAAAACAAAAACTGGTGAGAAATGAGTTTAAATACAGTATGTATAAAAATACATATTCACAGTAGACACAAATGTTGTGCATTACTGATATTAATCATCTGGTAAGCACACTAAAACTTACATAGATTTTCCTATCTATAAGAACAACTGAACATTTATCATTCTCAGCAAAAGTGAGACATCTCAAACTATTGTTTCATTGAGGGACATAAAAACTTTTTAACCCTCAAAGCCTTTTTTAGGGGGTGGTAGGGTGATTAGAATAAAGTAAAAGGCGTTTATTCTTTGATTTAAGTCTAAAATTACCATAAAGTCAAACGAAGAAAGAAAAAAAAAAAAAAAAAAGAGTTCTTTTTTTTTATTGAGGAAAATCTATGAGTTTTTACGGAGACAACTCGGTCTTTTTATCGCCTCCAAGATCTGCTCTCGTATTCGTCGTCCTCGTCATCATCCTCCTCCTCTTCCTCGTCCTCTCCTCGCTCCTCCTCTCCTGGTAAATAAGAGTTTGCTTCCTTCTGTTCAGATGGCACAAAAACAACATCAATGTGACTTTGATATTTAGGATTGTCTGGTTTCCAAATGATCCCTGGCCCCTTATACTTATCATTATGTAGAAGATCTTTGAAACCAGTTCTCAACATGTATTATCATAGGCTAACATCAGATTTATAGACAGGGCCAAGCACGACTAGCCAGAGGTGGAAGAGTACTGAACATTTGTTCTCAAGTACAAGTACTGTTACACTGCTTAACTTGTACTCAATTACAAGTAAAAGTACTGGTGTTATAAAAATACTTAGGTAAAAGTACAAATTACTCTTCTCAAAAACTACTGGCACTCAGAGTATTATTACTTTATATATATTTACTTTATCACTGTATACAATAGCTCATTTCTCAGATGAACAATAAAGTATAAAAAAATGACACTAAGGCCATTTCTTTTGTAAACAAATGTAGTTAAAGCAGGAATTTTGTTTTGTTTGTTAAAAGAAAGACAAAAATAATTTTCGACCGGCACAGGACAGTTTAAACTTTTCCAAATACACTGAGAACAACAGGCAGGTAAGTGTCAAACTCTGACATTTCTGTTGCCCTTCACTTTCTGAACCTTAAGTTCAGTGTCAGCAGGAGCTGGTTTTACAAGTTAACAGAGTCTATCTGGCTTCGTTTGGCAGCGAAGAGCAGACTCTACATGATTCTCTATGGAGTTGTCCTTTGCTGACATCATAGGTAATTGGCGTGGTCGCGATCTGAGAACCTTATTGGCTTCAAAGACGCAGACGAATGGTTTGATGATTAATTCAAATTGCGGCCGTACTCAGTAGCGACTTCTGATTTTAAAAGTAGCAAAGTAGATCACATGGTCTAAAAGTAGCGAAGTAGATCACATGGTCTAAAAGTAGTGAAGTAGATTACATGGTGTAAAAGTAGTGAAGTAGATTACCTGGTGTAAAAGTAGTGAAGTAGATTACCTGGTGTAAAAGTAGTGAAGTAGATTACCTGGTGTAAAAGTAGTGAAGTAGTTCACATGGTCTAAAAGTAGTGAAGTAG